AGCTCTAAGCTCCCGTCTGATCTCCTTCCAAGTCTCGTAGTGTAGTGCATATGAGTGTAAGTGTGTGTGAGTTAAGAATGAGGAAAGGACAAGGAAAAGGAAGGAATGCGGTCCGTGGCCGTTTATTAGGGTACTGCTCTGTAATTCACCTGGTGTTGATCGGATAAAACTACGGAATGCACCGTCGGGACACGAACCCTAAGACCTCCGGGTCAGAGGTACTGCAGTGATAGCAATTGTTACCCTAAGCTACTTTTGCCGGTTTTGGAAGCATCTAGCCTTGACCTGCATCGGCGCATAATGAAATGCATATCAATCTGGTGCAAATCATTCTGTAACTTTAAGTACAATTTCTCACATGTTCTTAGGCACAAAGTATTCTTCTTCCACCAATGCGAAGCCTAGAAGTTTGTAACATTTATTATGAGACACCATGTAGAGAAAAATATAGTGGTTTTGAGTTCTTGCACTGAAATGAATGAGAAAAGATTTGGAAAGGAAATATATGTGCTCATCATATTATACACTAAGAATTTTATTTCCGTTACAGGTACTTCCTGTTAATATAATCAAAATAAGATTGAAAGTTCATTAAATGTAAAATTAATTCTTTAATTAAGCAGTTGTAGGAAAATGTAGACGCCTAAAATGTCTGAACTTTTGCAATTTTCGAAAAATTATGGACTTCAACGAAAATTATTTTTGCAGAACTTTCTACTATTTCCTTACGCTATCCTAGGAGAAAGGTAAATCAATCAATTCGAAACTATTTTTAGAAACTTGAAAATATTCAGTCTTCATGTAAAGTACCCCCGAGAGGACAAAATATCCGTTTCTATACGGAGGATCTCGAGTTCGTTTACATCGATCAGGAAATATCAATTTGGAATAAAAGCGACTGAACGATTTACGCCCTAGCGTTGTACACGATGGACGGACAAACGTTTTGCCGAATGAAATTAAGAAATGTAGATGATAAAGATGGCTAAAAATATCTGTATATACCCTGGAGTTCTGCATCTCTAATGTAATTGAGGTCCTTTGCGCATGCAAAGTGGATAATCGTAAATACATTTACATACCACACAATCACAATGCGGAGAAACTGAAAATCATTTGTAGGGATGTCGTTAAAACGAAGACACGTTCCACCGAGAAGCACGTCGCCCGGCAAACCCGTTTCTGATGACATGTCCCAAGCGAATAACAGATAAATCGAGCGAGCACCGGTGTGACGCCCCGACACGCAAACGACCACGTGCTGAATTGCGGCAAAACACGCTGAATGTGCTGTTTGACACTAACTCGTGTCCCAGCGCTCAACAGGCCCCGGCTGGGCTGACCGCTGGGGCGGCGCGGCGGCAGTCACCGGATATTGGCCCACCGATACTAACCGGATGCACCACGTAATTTGAACGCAACGAGCCGTCCGTCGTGAATGGAGCTAACACGGGGCGAGTTAAATAAAGCGGCGCGCTATTACCCGACATCGACACCGGGACCCGAAGCAACGAGGCAGGCGTCAGCAGGAAAAGGCCCTCGCGGTCGCCGCGCTGCCTAGCGCTGGCCAGTGGTGCCAACTCCAAAAAGGAACCAGATTCCAGGATCCAGGGAAATATACGTCAACGATATTACAGTACCAGAAAAAGTTAAGAGCACATTTTCTCCTAAATGTGATCATCCTTCTTGTTACGCTCATAACGCTGCTACTAATAGCATTAATATTCTTTGAGAATGACGGCAATTATTTTCAAAAAGTATGGTTCCATTGTTTTACCTCATACCTCATGGCAACATTTCTAGGACTTTCCATTTTTAAATTTAATGCTTATCACTGTAAGTAAGATGCAAGTTCATTCGATTTTATCGCTTATATTTTATCATAATTCACTTGTTTCATCGGAAAGCTGAACTTAAATTCAAAGCTATCACCTCCTTCATATGAATATTGATATGAAAAGTTTTTTTTTAATTATAGCAAAAGTATAGTTTACGATAATGTGTTGTTCATTGTAAATGTTTGAATAGTACGCTTTTCACTTCAACGCATTTTATCTTAGAGGAGAAGCTGTACAGTCACATATCCATAAAAGATAAGTATTGGAGTTCATCTTGAAATTTTGTAATAACATTGGAACATTTTGTAATTAATTTCATTTGTTGTGTATATAAATCTACTATTATTCCAATAAGTCGCGTTAGATTGAAGTCGCCTGAAAATGAACTTTAAAGGGAACTTATATACAGGATGTTCGGGGAGAAAACGTTGAAACTTCTCAAATAAGCTCTTGAGACCATTTTAATCATATTTTGTCTAATAAACTACTGGGATATTTCGAATGGTTAAGCTGCAATAAGCACTCGAAAGTTTGTTTCAAAAACTGTTTCACGGCAAATGTCATTGGAAAGGCATAGAAACACTCCAGAAACATGTAAATTGTTTATAATTTACAAAAGAAATTAACAAAATTGATTAGAAAGAAAAATTAACACAGAAATAAAAAAAGCAACCAAATTACACAATTCGACAGTTTTTTTTCGAGTTAATTTTTCTTTCTATCAAATATATTCATGTCTTCTGTAAATAATAAACGATTTACATGTTTATGGTGTGTTTCTATGCCTCTGCAACGCAAATTCATGCCTAGAAAGCATTTTTTGAAACCATCTTTCGAGTGCTTATTGCAGCGTAGCCGTTCGGAATAACAAAGTAGTTTATTAAAGAAATATGTTTAACATTGTCTTAGGAGCTTATTTTAGACATTTCCACCCCGGACAACCTGTATGGTTGAAGGTGGAACGATTTCATTTTCTAGTTTTCGATATTTATTTATAAACGTTTCTTTTTTGCTTAAAGTTTGTCCTATGATGTGCCTCTTTTAAGCTGCAGAAGGTACGCTGACCGCGTTTCTAAAGTCGTTTCGGCACACTGTGTGCGACGTGTGTCGCTATCGTATCTCCCTCGCGGGCGTTAACTCTATATGCGGTAACGATGCTACCCGCCCCAGCGCTCCGACGGGTAAATGAAGCGTGCGCCTAACTTCACAAATCGCTATCCATCACTTCGCGTGCGTATCGTTTCACGCTGTGAATACGTGGATACAGCTTTGCGACTCGACGGAGATGCGACATCAGCTCGGTTGCCTTTGGATTTGGCAAGTGGTGGTTTACTCGCCGAGTGGATTTTGATGCTGAAGTGATACGGTCGTTAAAACTTTTTTTTCATGGAAACCAGGCATTTTAGAACCTAAATTTCCGTTGATGTGCAAGAAAGTAAGATGTAATATTACGTCCGTTTAGTAATCTGCATTTTACAACTTTGTGCGAATAATTGTATAATTAATTCCAAGACATGACTTTTGTAACTGTACCTGTTACTCAGTTTCCAACATCCTTGTCTCTAAAATTACTTAAAATACTCTGATCCCGTTTTACCAATATCGAGTAATGCTTTCTCAACTTCACGTCTTTTCCAATGTGTAAGATATATACTGTAAAGATGTAAGGATTTCGAGATCTACATACTATTCAGTAAAGTCATTACTGATTATCATGTTGAGATCTTCTTACATCCTTTTTTCATGGAATTTTCTTTAGTAGTTCTTTCATATTTACAATATACAGAAAAGCAAAATCGATTTATCTTTCAAGGAGCGAGGAAGACGAAGATATGTTGGAGAAGCGACAATTGTGATTATGCACCATGTACAATTGTAGCATTAATGGAAAACGGGAAACTCTGAAAGAACCAGACGAGAATCTGTTGGGTCACGTCAAATTCTACAAGGGTAGCGGTAATTTGAGCTGTGGTATAAAGCAATGGAAATCTGTGACGTTTGGCACCATACTACGGTCCAAACGGAACTATATATATATATATATATATATATATATATATATATATATATATATATATATATAACTCGTATTTTGGGGGCTACTCGGTTACAATGCGTGGTCCTCAAATTTTGGCGAAAATAATCCGTATAATGGCTCACCTTTTCGCAATGGAATGTAAGGCAGTCACCCCACGACATGTGGCATATAGAACCACATCGAGCCAAAATTACACCTTCCAACTAAATTTTAGAATAGTTCAGGTTGCTAGTGAATCTCCGCTTCTTGATAGACTGCATCGTGACTACAGAGGGGCACTTCGCAACAACATGATAATTAGTAATGATTCAGGAGATAGTCCAAATTCATGGCTGAGATGCAGATCATTTGAACTATGTCTGTAAATCGCGTAAGGGAGGGATGGAGAAGAAAGAAAGACAGAAACAGAGTCAGAGAAGAGAGAGACAGAGAGAAACAGAAGAGAATCAGAGAAGGCACGGAGGTTTTCGGGCGTAGTAGTTTCATTTTGAGATGGTATCATTATCAGAAATACACATACCAAGAATACCTGAAGAACACACAACAAAAGAGAGAGGAGTCCGAGAATAGAGAGAGAAATAGAGAAAATCAGAGAGAAGAGAGGGACAGAGACAGATGGAGTGAGAGACAGAACAGAGAAGCAAAAATAGTCGGAAGGAAAGGAGAGACAGAGAAATCTACACAAGAGAGAAGGGAGGGCTGGTGAGAAATCGAAGAAATTCAGAGAAAAGGGAGTCAGAGACGTTCTCTGGCTTTGCACTTTCATTTCGAAGTGAATACATTTCCTGATAGAGAGACAAAAATGCCTGAAGAACAGAGAAAACGAGAGAGGGGGAGAGGAGAGAGAAAGAGGCAGGACGAAGGGTTTTCAAGCGTGGGGCTTATTTGTAGATGTGACTAGGTTAACTGGTAGACCCACACACCCAGAACACGTAAAGAACACATGCGTGAAAAGAGAAAATGGAAGGGAGAGAGAGAAAGAAGAGTCAAAACACTGGGAGAGAAGAGGGGATAATATAAGAGAATCAGAGAGAAGGGAGAGATAGAGAGAATTAAAAGAAAATCAGAGAGGCGGGAGAAGCTTTTCCTAGGGCGGTGCTTCCATATGGCCGCGAGTACCTCACCTGGTAGACGGGCGTGTAGCCGAAGAGCGTGGCGGGCCCCTCGACGGTGCGCGCGGGCAGGCGCAGCCAGAGCCACGCCCACGCCGCCCACGCGCCCACCACGGTCCACGCGAAGGCGCTGCCCAGCGCCCTCGCCAGCAGCGCGCGCGCCTCCAGCTGCTCGCCCTGGCCCAGCTGCGCCAGCACTTGCACCACGCACGGGAACGCCAGCAGGATGAAGGGCGGCGCTAGGTGGTAGCGCACCACGCCGTACAGCCCCATGGCCGCGCCCGCGCCCGCGCCGCCGCGCCCCGCCGCGCCCTTCCTGCAACCGCACACGAGCGCACCGCGGGTCAGACAGTACTTTTCTTTCTGGGGCTTTTACCAGCTTCAGGCGACTATCCACGCCGGGTACCCATTATACCCCGTCGTTGGCAGATAGGCCGTTTCCCTGAAGAAGCCTGCGACATGACAGGCGAAACGTCGGCCTATCTGCCAACGACGCGGCGTCACCCGGACAGCCTAGAATCCTTATTCTTATACCCGTCATGGGGACACATGTTCACCTTTTACACTAGACACTGGACACACTTGCGGGCTTCCGGGTCTGTGGGCAGCAGATTCACAAGTCCTTCCGCGACAACACACATACGAGGTAATACATATGCTCGTACATGAAAGAAGGAAGAAACAACCATGATCGCAGCGGAACTCGTACCCGCGACTCTTACGAGCAAGGCGCTGAGTCGCACACGCTCTAGCCACCTCGGCCATTCAGGTCAGCACTCTCTTACAATAACAATTCAAGAAAGGATGATGTAGTTTCATTAAAATTATTATGCCGATATGGAGCAAATAAGACGCGGTTGAACTTGAGAAACCAAGGCGTCATCCGAGTCTATCGCCAACCAAGTCTATTATTTGTCTTATCGGCTATGTCTGTTATTTATGTTGTGTGCGATGTCAATGCTTTTCGTAAATACGATCTTCTTACCTTTTCTTTTTGGGAATAAGTGAAATACCATTTCTTCGAATATGTGTACCCATGTGCAATCTTCAGCTAACACTCACTTGTTTCGATTGGTTTTAACCGACGGAGGCTTAAATACGCTGAAATCGGCCGCAAAATCACTTATTACCGCCGCACGATTGCAATTCATTCTCTTTGCTTATTACGTAGTAAGGCGAAAAACTATATAAAATTATAAAACTACAAAGATACCTTTACGCTGAATACTTGTACGCTGTCTTAGTAACAACCCATTTCTTTTCATTGTTTCTCCAGATCGAAGGCCGTTAAAATCTCCTTTCATCCGTATGTTTGGTGTCTCTGTATCTAGATAATATAATAGTATTATTAAAAAGAATAAGAGGGTAACTCCTTTCGTGCTGACATTAAAGAATAAATAACACATCAGTAAAGTTGGCAATTAAGCATCAAATAAAAATCGTAGTCTAAAAACAAGTCTCTTTTTTTGTTCTTATACCACGACAGAGAGAGTTTAACTTCTCAATACTTCAGTAGGTAAGGTGGATTATTGCTTCGTACAAGCGATTACAGAATTGTCATATTAGTGGTTAATTAGCAGTTTATTAGCAGTAATTAATTAGCAGTTAATGGTTATAAACTGCTTTACTCATTAGTTCATTTTGTGGGCATAGTACTTAGTTGCACAAAATTCACAGTTACGAATATGAAGCACAGCATCAACAGTACAACATGAACTTCATACGTATTTCACTGCGTCCAACGGGAAAAATTCCATTGCTTTCTTATAGCTCATTTTAAATATTCTCACACGAGTCATAAACTTCAGAACACCAAATAAAATAATAATAATAATAATAATAATAATAATAATAATATAAAACTCGTAAACTTTTCAAATGAAGTCCACGTTTAATGTTGCAGATAATTCCTCCACCTAATGACAATAATTACTTTTATTCATTGAAACATTTTCATGATAAATACAATTTTATCTCGGGAATATAGAAAATCACATTTTTTCACTGGTAGCAAACGGTATAAAGCCTTTGGGGCTCAAGAGAAATTAAACTTTCAAGTTTGCCTTTGCTAGTGCTTTCCGTAATACCATCTTATAAGGAAAGTTGAAAAATACTGCAATCTCAATATTTGCCTCAAGGTAAAAGCCTTCCTAGTTGATCTCAAGAGGATGGGACACATAAAAACCGTGACAGCAATCGATTTTTGATTTTCGAAGAGAATTACGTGGATGTGAACAAGATAAACTGGGACAGTCGCTAAAAGTGGCTGCAAGTTCACGATACACATTCGTCCTGGCATTTTTTTATGAACACGCATAATCAAATACTTCCAGGGAATTCAAGTAAATGTGCATAATAAACAGCGGGAAATCATAGTGTCATTTCTTGGCCCAGTCGGAGAACTGGGAGAGGTGATGGTGCAGGTCATCTTGTGCGGTGGTAATATCACGGTTTGAGGAATATACAGCGGTGTCATCAGCGAACAATGCAATGGAGGTATGTGAGTTGAAAGTATGTGATGATGTTGTTTGAAATTGTGTGTACCAGTGAATTCTGTACTGACCATTTAATAGTTAAGTTTCATCGCAAAACAATCGTTTCCTATGCGTCAACGTTTGTGAATGAGAAAATCCACATGGAAAGCAAATAAACAGCGGTGAAACAACTGTTATTTTAAACATGTTCACTTCGCTAGGCATAGTGAAACGAATCAAGATTCCATGCAAATTTAACATTAAGAGGTCTTTCATCTGCACGGTCTGCTCGGACGCTATGGAGACAGACAATGATTTGAAAAATCAACAAGGCGAACGAATGTAGACGTCTTACTAAATGGACAGAGATTCATTGTCCAGGTAGATGGATGAAAGGCTTTATGTGGTAGAAGTTGGAGTGTATGTTGTAACATGGAGAAGAGTTAAATGTTTCAAGTTGAAGAGAATATGTGTTGAAACGTTGGAGATATTCAAAGATGTTAGACGATGTTTTGTGGATTTGAGCAAGAAGGTTTATTGTTGTGGACATAGACGGACTGTGAATATATTCAAAGAACTGTTAGCATAGTGTTTCTTTTTCTTTAAGTCGTTAATTGTTCAAAGATTTTATTTTTCATTTTTATTATTGTCAGTAAACGTTTCTTTCTGGTTTTGAAATTTGAAAATGTGTTTATATTTAAATAAACAGCAAATTGCAATTATTCATGTGTACAATGTATTCCGTAGAATCATTGGCCATAAAAAAATGGATATTTCTGTTTGTCTGCTCATGAACATGATTTTTAAAGGGAAAAATTAGAACTTACTAACACTACGCATGAAGAAAGAGGAATTTTCATAGTGAAGAGGATCATTGTTAGTTTGATATTAAGCACCTTTTTCAAGAAAGTAATCGTACGTCTAAATTTTATGTTAAATGAATGATAGATTTTTACCATTTTTTCTCTATGAAATTGAAAATCCGCGGTATAAACGTAAGACATAGGAAAGCTCGCATTTCACGTAGTATGCATGAATTTTGTACCGCCTTTACCACAACTTTGATCTACAAGATGATGAGCCGATTGCATTCTGAATACAGGAGGAAATGTTTAAGTTCAATGAGCAATTTTTCAAGCATGTCTTTAACTTTATGGTAAGTATATTGTAAGTTACCTGTTGGTCATTTTCAAGTACTAGTAACTTCTGTAAACAACTTTGTTTTCTTGAGAATGCGTGACTGGAAAGTTAATAACTTTGACAGAGCCTTCCTTATTTACTAGAAGCAAGATGTATTGTTATGATGACGAGGAAGCTTGTTGTAAGAGAAGACATCACTTACAAAATAGACGACAGGAAAGGATTCGAATAAATAAACATTCACTGCAGGAGGAAGGAAATATTTCACGCAAAATATTGTTTTCAAAAGTCGTCTTCTTAATATTTTGATTATGTTATAATTTGGAAATACTAAGTTATAAATAATTAAATATTAAACCACTAATTAAATATAATTTAGTCTTCCGTTTTCTGACACTTTGGCGTCAACCATCGATTCTCTTGATCCCATCTAATACAAACTAATACTGTTTTTATACAAATAGATTAAATATACAAAGGTCTTTGTGTTTTCTAAAGGTACATAAGGTATGTGAAAGCAATAATAGCATTCCGTACACGTCGAACCTTGGATATACTTGGTTTTCAATTTAAACTTGGGTAATACAATTGATTCACAGACAATTTTGAAGTGACAGAGGACGACTGGGTCCATGACCATTAATTTCTCGATTTTATCAACATACTTGTAGTTTCAAGAAAACTATTTTGTAAGGTGAAGTATCGGAACTAACTATCGTGATACATTTCACTAAAATTCAATTACAATAATATCGACGACAGATATTTCTAAATATGAAATGTAAGAGTATTTCAAATGACTAACATTGGTGTCAAGGAAGAAGTAGAACAGCATAAACATATTTTTTTCGTGACCACGAACACAGCGTTGACGTTAATGTGTTTCCGCATATGGTTACAAGCGACTTGATTTCAGGGCAGTCTCAACGGAAGCTTTTTGGCTCCTCGTTCGCGGTCCAAGGACGACATACGACGCTGTTTCGAACGGAAGACAAGTGGCGCCATTCGGCAACCGCATTCTGCACAGGAACTGGCAGCGACTTCGCCGACAGTAGATTGAGCAAAGTGACGGAAGCTATGGGATTGAAATTGCAAAAAATGAACGAGATGGCGAAGAAGTAGTGGTGACAAAGGAAATTACTAAATCTAGTTACAAGAGACAATCGTGGGTATGAATGATCACAATCATTGTAACACAGTCTGTGGAGAAAATTATGTATAGTACTCATCTATCATAGCATACCGGTATGTTGTACTTTTGCAACGTATGCTTCCATATTTTCTATGGAGTTTTAAAAATAGTGTAATGTTCAATAGGTGCAACGACATACAACTTGCTAAATGACCAGAATGTAAGAAGGTTCTCAAAAGAGGCTTTATATTTAGAGAACTGCTTCTCATTAAAAAAGCTTATAATCCTTACACCATACAACTGGGAGCGTGGTATCATAAAAACATGAACTTTGAATCCGTCCTAACTTACATCAATATTACTAAAGTCATCTGTAAAAGATCATTAAACAAATGACAAATCACAACTTAGCACCTCAATCTCACCACTTTCACCTGTTTTAATTAAACATTTCAACAATATTTTGTATTCAATTATTTCTTTGTTCAGTTCTCTTTATTATTTGTTTGTTGTTGTTTTTTGTTTTAATGCTACTGTATTGTACACGAATGCTTTGAATCAATTCACACTACACTCAAGACATTTTGAAAAACGCTAATATTCTCCACGAACCCGGAACAATTCCCTCCATTTTTAACTTCTCACAAACCTATACAATATGGAATAAAAGGAATAAATACAAATTCTCCACACATTTTCAATAGCAGTACAGACACCTTATAACGTATTAAGAATCACAAGCCTGCTTACAGGTCGAGAGAAAAAGAAATCGAAATTGTTTTCAGTTAAGGAACAATCGTAAAATTGGCAATTCCGAAAGACGAGGACCACATGACTGTAATTCAGATTTTTTATGTAGCCGGAGAGATAATATATGTTTAAAAGTATCGCGGAATTAACATCAAACACTAGAGGAATATTTAAGAGTTTGAGGTGTAGCTTAACCATTCATAGAAATATGAATTGTAATATAAATCCTGTGTCCTACAACTCCGTATACTTGTACGTACCAGGGAAATTTTCACACCTCCAGAGTGGGCACGTGAGCTCTTATTCCCCGGCGGGTGTACAAGTGTACCATTGGTCTGGAATCCGGATATGCCCGAACGCGAAAAATCCCAAAACGCACATCTCTTCACAGCCTGAGTGAGGCCGTCTCACAAGCTCGAGACTACCCTCTTTCCGGATTCGCACCAGAGCCGATTACGTCACTGAATCACTTTGGGACGAATCCAATCTCAATATGACGTGATGGCGTTGGGAAGTACTGATTCTTGAAGTATCTGTACTCT